AAACGTATATACCTAGGTATGTACATGAGTAACTGACAAAGTGTCTTAATTGGAAGGCTTCTTTATTCCGTCCTCTTTTTCAGGCCATAAATTCATCCATATTTTTTACTTATTGTTCTAGTTTGTAGCAGATTGTACATTGTAGTGTAAAAATAAAAAATGTTGTGAAAGTAACTCCAAAAGAGTAACTAATAGTGCACTACACTAGTCTACACACATGACTATTGACTACATATTTACTATATCAATGATTATAATTAATAATATAATTATCAATGATATTATTAAGCTCGATACAATAGATATTAATTTTGAAATTTTGAACTGCAAAGTGCTAAACCCCTCCCCACAACCTAATGATTGTTGAAGTCATGTATCACAGCAAAAAATAAAATAAAAATATTACATTTAAAAACAAATATGCAGCGCTCTCTAGTGATGAAAGTACAAAACAACATTATATCCTAAATAATAGTTGCCTGGTGAAAAACTGAAAAGGTTCGCCTGCGAGGCCTTTCGGTGTGAATTAAAAAGTATTTTGTACGAGTAAAATCAATTATTAAGTATTTAAGTAGGTATTACATTTAACAACTATTATTGTTGCCATATTTTATTTTTAATGAATATCAAAATACAGTATCGAACACTAAACTGTTAAGAAGAAATCTTCTCCCTAGTTTTAGAATGGTTGCCAGGGTGTAAAAAAAATTTTAATCTTCATAATTTTTTTAGATTTAACCATAGATTCCTACAACTGATTATCAATCATTTTAAGTTTCCGTGAAGACATCACAATTAAAGTGTTGGAGGCATCTTTTAAGTAGAGCAAGGACTTTCATGCATTCGCATATTTTTTCTGGTTAACTTTAACGTAAGCAGAGTAAGCTGTAATCATACAAAGTATTCACAATGTTTAAGACCAAAAACTCAAAGTTTTTAATGTATATTTTTGCATATTTTGGGTTTAAAGGACATATTTTAAGTTTTTAGTGAATATTTTGAAGGTTTTTCATAAATCATGTACTTCAGTCAATATTTATGATGAATCTAGGACAAAATTGTATTTAACTGTTTATTTATAATTTCTCATAAAGACGATAAAGGCTCATTTTATCTTAATTGCGAATGGGTAGATTAGAAAAGCGCCTTATCAATTCCAAATTTTTAAAAATGAAGCTCCAGAAGTAAAAAAGCTACCACCAGAACAGCTGAACCTATAATTACTTGTTGGGGGGTGTGATTAGATGCAACAGATTATTATTGTAAGCATATTTAAAGCATTCAAAATGTTTTTATGAAGTTGAATGACAATTCAGCTTTTGTATTAAAGGTAAAAAATATTTTGGATGGCCAACGATTAGACGCAAACTTGGTTTGTATTACAGCAAACTTTCTATCTAAACCAATTACCCAGCTTGAAAAATGTGGATTGAAACTAGTCAATTCAATTAACATTGTGCACAAAATTATAAACAAAATTAACATAATTAATACACAATCAAAGAGTATAAAATCAGTAGTGGAAAAACTTTAAAAAGCAATAGAAAAAAACAAAGGTTTCAATATGCTTTGTATAATTTCGAATATTTTAAATGGCACTGAGGAAAACATCAAAATGGATGAATTAGGAGATTTGAATGCTAGTGAAATGGTTTTCTCAAAATATGCATCGACCAGGTCAGTGGACGTTGAACAGTTTTTTACAATACAAGAACCAGCAAACAGATAAAATACGCTCTCTGCTATTTGAAAATACCTAAGAAATGTTAATAATTCAGTACAATTCTGATTTAGATAAGGTAAATATTTGAGAATAATACAATAATTATTTTTAAATACCTTTTCTGTTTAATAACTATAAGGTACAGAATAATAACTAATAAAGAAGAATGAGATCCAAAATTCAAAAAAGATTCTAAATCAATTTAGTACAATACAATAAGTAAAATAAATCTAGTTATAACTTATAGAGGAATAATAAATAATAAGTAATTATTAAAATTAAATACTAATTAATAATTATTAAAATTAAATATTTAAAGGAACATGTAATTTTTAGAGCGATAAGTTTTAGTCTTATAATTTTTTTTTAACCGCACATTTTAAATGTTTTGATGCATAAAAGACAATTTTTATATGTATTTTTGATGATTTTTTCAGTGTATGAAAGTCCTTGCTCTACTTACAAGTAAAAGTTTCAAGACTATAAATAGCACCAAACAAAAAACACATGACTTAAATCTATAAGTGCACCAATATTTAGATACTTTTTTAAAGGATTTAGTAACCTGATTTAGTTAAAAAATATCATGAAAAATATACATAACATGTATAAGGTATGTCGTTAAATGCAAAATAGCTTAAATAACACCATAGAAACAAATTTATAAAAATATTTGGATTTTAATTGGACATTAAAATTTAAGGACATACGTTTCTGACCAATAACCTGACAGACAGTTAGAGAACGAATAACACAATCATATAAGAAACACTATATTAAAAAAATTGTAAAAGTACCTAACTTACAAGTTATCTTACAACTTAATAACATATTTAATTGATAAAGATGTTGGGTAGGTGGTACTGATTTGGGGTAGCTTATGATATTGAATTAAATTAATACATTAATTCAAATACTTTATTTAGAATATTAAAAAAAAAAATTAAAAATAACAGTCATATAAAAACCGAGCAGACTTTGTAACAAAATATTTTAAGTTTCTTAAATAATATTAAGATTAGGAGACAATTTTTGACTTGAACGTATACGCAAAATACAAAACCGCCATGCTGACAATTGCAGCAAGGAATTCAGAATTGACCCAAACGCCTTTGTAAGCACCGGGATAACGGACGTATGCAGAGTGTACAGGCGTTACACTGCTGGTGGATTCTCCATCGCGCAACAGTTTCTTAAGTTGTCCATAACCGGCCTCGTCGTAAAATTTCACATAGTAATCGCCTCGGCGAGCCTTCTTGAAGTCGTCCAACCAACTGACCTGCGGAAAGGTTTAGCATAATATTATAACACTGCTTGCAGACAGCACTGGATCAGTGTCGAGATCGGTCTACTTACTTGGTATTTGTTCGGACCAGCGTTGGCCGCTACCAGAAGTCGGCCTTCCACTTCGGCGTACAGGTTGGACGGCGAATCCTCGCAATCGGCGCTCACTTGAGCAATGAACGCGGCCTCGGTGACGATCATGGCATCGCTGGTGGTGTACGACTCGACGGCATACTTACAACCGGCTGCGGACGAAGCCACCGCGCACAACGACAGTGCGACGAGAATGCAGTGGGTAGGTGTCATCGCGGAATTCGGATGAGAAAATTCGGAAAAAGTCGAGAAAACAGGGAAACGGACGTTGGAGTAATAACGTACACTCGGCGAACAGACACGGTCGAGCCACGATTTCTGAACTTCGTAAAAGTGCCAACTGTTACGATCGCGTTTCGTCGCGTTTGTGATAACCGGCCGTGTCGATAACGCGTGTACGGAGTGTCATCGTTTTTGAGTGTGACCACGAATTAAGATATACTTAATCTTAATTCGTGAGTGTGACCAACGTAATGGTGGTGAGAGGCAAACGCTGTCGGTACTTTAATTTGCCTGCCAGCGCCGAAAATAAATAAATATTAAATAATAAATTTGAATATTGAATTTGGAGGATATGAGTTCATATTTTCATACTAATCATATTTTTAATTTTCTAAATAATTCGGGAGTGAAACATTCACACAATAATAGTATGTACTATTCGTCCATCGAGGTTGTAAAATAATTTTGAAAAAAATACGTGTTTTCCAGAAGTATACCTACTTACTTACGTAGTTAACTCTTCCCAATCAATCGCTAATTGGAAATCAGCAGTAAATGCAAAACCTGGCTCTTTCGAAGAAGTTTTAAAAAGCATTAAACTAATTCCAAATTTCCAACTAGTGAGAAGGATTGCAGTTTAGTATTTGATGGTATGCCAATTAGAAAAATTAATAATTATTGTGTACGATGAAAAAGAAGATAAGTTTGTAGGGTAGGTACTGCAATTTTGGTGGCATACAAATCGAAACTCAAGAGACCCCAGCCACTGAAACATTATTTTTATGTTGTCTGGACTCAATGGAAAATGGAAATAGTCAATAGGATACTTTTTGCAGGCAAAAAATATAGCTATAGTACAAGCTGGACTAATAACAACTGCAATTATATAATAATGATGTTATTAATGGGGCAAACATCAAGAATTTAAATACGGGTATAAATAATATTACCTAAATATTCATTAAATATACATTTAATATTTTTAGTTTAATTATAGTTTAACAAAACATATTTGAGTTAAACACTTTAAGTCACTTTTCCGTAGTACCTTATGTAGGAGTAGAAATTTAACTTCGCCACCACGGATTGTTCATAATTTTGAAAAAAAATTATATATATCGCCTGTCAATAGAAAAAATTATGGTTATTGCAAATATTTTTCATTGAATAGATTAATTTACGAAACGCTAAAATTAGAGTAGATGGGAAAGTGAATCTGGTCGGTGGGAGGTCAAAATTTAAAATTCCCAGTAGTTTTCAAAAGCAACAGTAAAAACAAACAAAATATTAAGGGAAAACGGGAATTTTTACGCAAAACCTTTCATCGAAAAAATCAATTTTGGTTTTTAGTGTACCTCTATCAAAAATAACCGTAGGTTCATGAAATTTTCACGGAATATTTGTGTAAACATTTTCTATACACCACACAATTTTCAAAATACATAAATAATTGATTTGTTTTGAACTATATATACAGGCATATGAAATTTTTGATTATTATTTTACAATCATAGTCCGTGGTTTATACGGTAATTAATAATTATAGGATGGTATAGGGAATCTAGCACAGAGTAATATTACTCCATGATCAAGCAATCTAGTTTATTTTTATTATCTAAATCTGTGACTCAACTATATCATCTTATCAATTATTACTCTAATAATTATTAATAATTGCATACCACGACTTTAGATAGTACTATCTTTTCTTCTGTGTAACTACTAAATTACTTATTATTGTAATATTATTATAGACGTCTGGAATATTTAGTTATGAGTATGGACAGTCTTACATAAGTTATGCAGCATAACTAAAAAGTATAGAACTACAGTAGCCAGTAACCACTAACTAGTGACTAGTGCCACTAACTACCACAGCTTACATCTTATTTTTGACGGTAGGTATTACAATTATTGTACTGTTACAGTTTTTTATAATAACTATTTATGCTGGTAGATACTTAAATATGACATCATATTTGACAAAAATGGTAAAGTTCAATAATGGTCAATTATATCCAATCTTAGGTTTGGGAACTTGGCAGGTAATATATATTTACACGTATCTATTTTGTAGTAGCTACTACGTAATTTTGAAAATATTCATTTTTCCAGGCATCAGCAATCATTGATGATTCTCAACACACTGCGTTCATTAATTCTATAAAAAGTGCAATTGACATAGGCTATCGTCATTTTGACTGTGCTGCCATTTATAATAATGAAAAATTGTTGGGAAAAGCTATAAATGATAAAATTTTAGAAGGTGTTATCAAAAGAGATGAACTATTTATCACTAGTAAGGTATGACTTAACAATTCATCAATAAAAAATGTATATAGTTATTATTTTGTCGTGAATCAGACAATCAGTCAATGTTTATAAATATTTTAAATGACTTAAGAAAGATTTAGAATTTGCTTAAAATAGATACTAATTTTAGTTGATACCTAAATAATTATTGGTTAAATAGGAAAATATTTTGGGGGCACTAAATACATTAATTTTATAATGTTAAAAGACATAGATAATAATTCCAATGATATGATAATACGCATACTAATACTAGTAATTATTCTTAGTTATTAAAAAAATTATTGAACCTAATATTTTCACTGCTACACTATTTATGCTCTACAACAGTAGTTCTCAACCTTTTTTGATTCATGTCACCTTTAGGCACTAGAATCAAACATCGCGTCACCCTAACTGTGTAATGTAAAAAAAAAAAAAAAACCTAACATCAAAATAATAAATAATCTTAGCTGTATATATTAAAATTATTCTTTTATTAAAAAAAAAATACAGTACAGAAAAAAATTAAAGTTAAAAAAAAAATAATGATTTATATAAATTTAATGTGAAATTTGACCCAGGTGTTTTTTACAAAATTGGGGAATCCTAAGTTTGATGGTGGAAAGAGCGAGTCTCATATCGTCTTCTATAGTTGTTTTTGTGAGTCTGTTGCGTTTTTTTGTTTTTATATTTGTTAGTGCACTAAAGCCATGCTCACATAACCAAGACGTAGAAAACTGAAGGAGCACATTAATAGCATTTTACGATAATCGAGGGTATTCATTGTTAAGAGCCACCCAAAAGCTGTCTAGCGTATATAAAGATACGAACTTTGAGGTATGTTATGTACATGACAGTGGCGGTATAGGTGAATAATATATGTATTATAAGAAATAATATGATTGTTTTCGAAATTTTATTATTATTATTATAATTTTACTATTATCGAAAAATTTATTTTTAAAATTTTTTCTTTTCTTGTTAAAATTCTGCGTCACCCCTAAGCTAGGTCCACGTCACCCTAAGGTGACATGTCACCCCGGTTGAGTACTACTGCTCTACAACCTATGTATGTTACATAAATTTAATTTTTTAAATGTTTTAAATTTAAATTATGAAATCTTTATGATCTAATTATTTAAGCTTAAAATAACTCGATACAAAGTTGTATGGTTACTGGCAAATATGAATGGATAATATTATGAAATACAGGAATGTAATAGTACTTATGGTGCAGTGAATTTTGTAAATATTTTGGACGTAATAGTTTGTTTGGAAGTGGAGCAGTGAAAGGGTTAAAGAACCATTAAAAATAAATTACAAATGATATTTAATAATAACTTATTAGTAAATTGTGAAATTTAAATTTGAATTGTACTTAATGATATCTAATGAATTTGTTTGAATCATTAGATATTATCTATTTATGTGTTTAATTTGTTTAAGCTTTGGAATGATAAGCATAGATCTGAGCTGGTAGAAGAAGCATTGAAGAATACTTTGAATGATTTATGTTTGAGTTATGTAGATTTATATCTTATCCATTGGCCTTTTGGAACTAGTGTAAATATTTTTAAATGTATACAAAACTTAACACCAAAATGTATTAACCTATAGTATTATAAACATATTTTATATTTTAGGAAGATCCTAATGCTACTGACAGCGAAGGTCGATTATTAAGTTCTGGTGTTTCTTATTTAGAAACTTGGAAAGCTATGGAAGGATGTGTTCAAAAAGGTCTCACAAAATCGATTGGAGTGTCGAATTTCAATATTAAACAATTAAAAGATATTTTAGAAATAGCTACTATTAAACCAGTTGTTAATCAGGTAAATAGTGTTAAAACAGGGAAATATTGTTGTGTCTTAAGTTTTATGATTAATTTGCATACTTTTACATAAACTATAATTTTTTATAATAATTATTGTAATTCAATTGATGATAATATATGATGATTTTTACTTTATTTTAATCCATAAATATTTATTACTTTATTACACTTCAATGTATGTAGAAGTTTTAAAATATTAATATAATTGTAAACAAATTTATAAACAATTTATTTAACAACTAAAATTGTTTGTTCTTATAGGTTGAGTGTCATCCTTATTTAACACAAAATAAACTGAAGGAGTTCTGTGAAAGTAATGGTATACTACTAACTGGTTATGCGCCATTAGGATCAGCAAAAAGATCATGGGCAGGACCAGAAGAAGATGCTATTTTAGACGAACCTATTGTAAAACAAATAGCTGATAAGTATAAAAAAACCAATGCTCAAATATTGATAAAGTTCCAAGTAATTATTGTACTATTTATTTTTTACTATTTGTTTCTAACTTGTATTGTGTTGAAAAAATTAGATCCAAAGAGGTGTTATAGTCATACCAAAGTCATCCAATCCAGAGAGGCAGAAAGAAAATTTTGATGTCTGGGATTTTGAGTTAACTACACAAGATATGGATTTACTCGAATCCTTGAACAAAAATGCTCGTTATTTCGAATTCAATACGTAAGTTGAAAACATTATTTGACATTATTAAATAATACATTTTAACATAATATTTAAAAGATTTATTAAACCTGTTTATTTTTTTAGTGCAAAACATTTAAAAGACCACCCATTCTTTGATGAAGCCTAATTATTTGAACATTTGGAGATTAACATTTAAAATGTTGGCTAAAATTAATACTATACTGCTTATAAATATTAAATAATTAAAAAATGCAATGTTAATAAACTTAAATAAGTATAAGTTAACTTCCACACTCTGGTTTTGTAAATTGTATTCTTTTGCTCCTTACATTCTCTCTCAAAACTGATATTGTACTAAACAAGTCTTATGCCAGGTTGCATGAAAAAAATATTAATTAACAGCCCAATATAATTTAATGGACCAATCATGGGCCTCTAAACCATGTTTAAGGGATCATTAGCTCACTATTGATTTGTTAAATGTTGAGTGATTGTTCATGCAACCCGGCAATAGTCAGCAAGTCTAGTTGTTGTAATACAAAAATGACAAAAACAATTGTATACAACTAAACTTTTAATGTTATATTATTATCATCAATTATAATAATTCTATAACATTAAGCACTTGGACTTTGAGGTACAATGATTAACGAGTCCAATACTCTAATCTTATTTCTAAAAGTAATTATTTTGGAAGTGCACCTACAGTTAAATCCTGCTTTCAGAAAAGTAAATAGTGTTGTTGAAAATCCTAAAAAAAAATTTGGAGGCCTACTCTTTAATTGTAACTTGGTAATATTACTTAAATAACTGACTGTATAACCAAGGCTATAGATAATATTATATATTAGGCATATACCAGTGATTGTAACTGAAGCATTATCTTTGGAATTTTAGATAAATAATATTGTGTCAGGGCCGTGTTTAGAGGGTTTAACCCCCCCCCACCACGGACAATTTCAAATACACATGTAAGTACTTACATTTAATTATAATTATTGTATTTCTCAATTTTAAATCAGACAATTTGCTATTTAAAAAGAAGTCTTTTTCACTAATTTTCATTTAAGTGATACAAAAAAAATGAATATATTTTCGCGAGATTTAGTGCTCAATAAAAGCAATAAAAACATTGGTATTTAACTCTTTACAGGCCCTCATATGAGCATTCTCAGCAGTTCAGTGGGGCCCATTGTTCTATTGAAAAAAATAAAAAATTTATAAATAAACTCGGTAATTTGAAAAAAAGAAACAATCAGGTATTAATTGTTTATGTACAATTGCAGGCAATTTGTATAATGTATCGAAAGTGAAAAAAAAAATATTTATATGTATGGTTTAGAGATTTAGAATAGAGAAAAAAAACGAAGAACCAATATAATTTAGGCTATTTTAAAATTAAGAGTTTGAAAAGCCTTCTGGGTCAAGTTTTATGGTTATTTGCCTAACGTCTATACCAGGGATCTATAATATTAAAGGTCTGTTCTTTTTTCTATCACTGTATAGTCATAAGTTTTTATTTAATGTAATAATTATGTTAAATTTCTTGTAGCCATTGGCCCTTGTCGCCGAGGCAGTTATTATTATCAATAAAAAAAATATATGCATATTATGCCAATAAATAAAAAAAAGCGTTGATCATTATAGCTCTGCAGCATTTCCAATCGGCTTACAGAGACATTTTTACTTTGTCCTTCGTTCTGTAAATTAATTTAATACACTGATAAATGTTTTATTAATTGTTTTTAATTACATATTTTATTTATAAATAAGACACAGAAATTGAATGTGGCCTAAAGACCCTATCAAAACAAACAAAATGTATATTACCGAAATAAGTAAAATTAAAAGTATTATCTCAATAATCATTAATACCTATTTAGTATTTAATATTTATATTTATACATGTTGAATCCTAAATTATATCTGAAAAATAAAATATATATTTATCAAAATTAAAAACCCCTTTTAAGATATGCATAGGCAATATAATATGTATTATTGTGATTACTTCATAGAGGAATTTAATCTATGATGGGTTACTTATCATATTATATTGATGAGTGGCAATTTTCAAATGTTTCGGCTGAGTGATAAGCACTTGCCCGGCCAATGTACAACTCTCGTTAACTACAAAATTAAATATAATTATAAGTATTAAATAATAAATAGTAATAAGCTTTAAAACGTAGTGATTTATTACCTAACTTTTTAGTTATTCTAGAGTTTTATAAAGACGTCCATTATCATTACTTGTATACATAAGACGTTATAGCCTTCAACCTTATCATATTATTTAATATAAATATTAGATTCATTTTTAATTTTTACATCATCTTTCACACTCATTGATTGATTTTTATATACATACTGAATATGTCGTCGTCTACATCAGTGAAAATGGTGAAGTTCAACAATGGCCAACAGTATCCAATCTTAGGCTTGGGAACTTGGCAGGTAATACAAAACACTGTTAAACTATTTACCTATATATTTATTAATTTATAATTTTATCAATTTATCATAATAAATGACGGTCACATTTATTTTAGTTCTTATTTGAAAATAAACTATTTAAAAAATACAATATAGTGTTTAAAGCCTATGGACTCTTGTTATCAAAGCTAAAGTTCAATAAAATAAAAAACTTAATTTTCGTGTTTATCTATCAGAAAATATTTCGAATTATTATGTTTATTATACCTATATGTACCTATATTGTGAGCCATAATATTTTACATTTTAGACCACACCTGAATTAAAAGAATCTGAACAGATTGAGATTTACAATGCAGTAAAAAGTGCAATTGATATAGGATATCGTCATTTTGATTGTGCTGCTTTTTACAATAATGAAAATTCCATAGGAAAGGCTATTGCTGAAAAAATTAAAGAAGGTGTCATTACAAGGGAAGAATTATATATTACTAGTAAGGTAAAGTACTAAATTTTATTATTTAACTTTAAATCTTTATTCAGTGAGTATTTATGTCTTGATTCAAAATTTGAAACGTCTTATTTAAGATGTTTACCAATTAATAAACACCAATACACCATAATAACTGAGATCCTAGTACCAGAAAACAATACAGTGTTGATATAGGTACCTGATACAATATACTCATATTCATATATAACCTCTATAAGGTTATAATATCAATTACTCAACAAGAGTTATTTCAATCACCACCAAGTGAATGTTTCGCTCTTTTTTTTTACCTATTTAATGTTTACAATATTATAAATAAAGAGAAGTGCACTTTTTTGTCATGAATAATGATAATAAAATGTATACACTATACAGTACACATTTGTATGTACTATAACATACTACATTATTAGGTACATTTAAAATAATTATTATGTTAAATACTGCTGAGTGTCGTAAATAAAAAAATAACCAAGCAAATAATTTAATGGTTACATCACATATCATTTGCTCTTCTTTTTTAAATTTAATAATAGGGCAATTAATTGATAATTCTTATATTGACCCAGATTCCATATATGTCATGTAGACAATTAATTTTCTATTTGATAAGTATGGTATGTACTATTTAAATTCTTTTTTAGAATAAAATATTTTATATAATTAATAACTTAATATGTAATAACATTAATATGAAAGTTTAATTTGTTTATATTATGTACCAATAAAATCATTTGAAAATTTTTATTTATTTAAAATCAATAAAATAATGATTATTTCAATTCATCGAGTTTTAATTGAAATATTTCAATACACGGTCATAAACACCGTGTGCGTGGAATCTCGTGAATATTTTTAATGCGTGTAATTTAGGGTTAATTAAAGATTATTGTCTTATCATTTATGTTATCTTGTTATATGAATCGGTTTCACTTTTGTAAAGTTAATACAATTTTTTTTTTGCTTAAATATTTTTGTATAGTTTTTTTTTTATTAGCTTCTTGTATATACAATTGAATAGTTATCAATTATTATACATAGTTTAAAATATTATATTAGTGTATTTAGTCTTAAAATTGTTATTTGTTTAGCTATGGAATAACAAACATAAACCCAAAGACGTAGAAGTTACATTGAAGAATAGTTTAAAATTGTTGGGTCTAGATTACCTAGATTTATACCTTATTCATTGGCCAGTTGCGACTAGTGTAAGTAAATTAGTTTTGACTATTTAGGTATAACAGTTAAATAGAAATTTTTTTAGGAACATCCAATTTCAAAAGATAGTGAAGGGCGGTTTATTGGCACTGATGATTCTTATTTAGACACATGGAAGGCTATGGAACAGTGTGTCCAATTAGGACTCACAAAATCAATTGGAATTTCAAATTTTAATATTAAACAAGTGAAAGAAATTTTAGAAATAGCAACTATAAAACCAGCTGTTAATCAGGTAATACTGGACAAATAGTATTCAAAAATCGTTTTTAACGCAGTACAATTTAATCTAAACTGTCAAAAGTATTTAAAACTATTACTATATTACCAAAGATTGTCACTGTATCATGCTGCTTAATTATTGTTAGTAGCCTAAAACTTATCATTGTATTCATGAAGATTAGAGATATCTCTAATCTTCATGATTGTATTATAAACTAGCAAATATATGCTTTAATTCATATCAGGGACATCTTCTGAGGATAGCTCAGTAGGTTACCAGTTTTACTTAGGCAGACACCTATGGAAGAAACTAAACAGTTATTGTTCACGGGATACAAAATGTTTTTAAATGTAGCCTACAAAAACTAATACTGAAGTGTAATTACACCCAAAAGTCATTCAGTGACAACTGCCCACTGCCCAGTAAGGTAGTACATGCTCACCCATCTACCCATCCTATCACCAATTTTTTTGTCCCTAAAATTCTCGCTTGATACTCTAAGCAAACATGCCTCAAAAAATAACCTTTGTGCAGCCACTGATTAGACAGTGATTAATTGAAAAAGGATTGGGTGTAAGTCGTAATAATAATAATCAAATAGCTAAATAGTTCAATAAAATGGAAAAAAAAATCTTTTATAAATGAACCGAGTTTTGCTTTAATTTAGTTAAACTAAATCAACTAATGAATTATTAGAAATTAATATTAGTAAAATAAATAAGTTTATATAATAATTAGTTAAATTATATTAGTGTTTATACCTCTTAAATTATAATAGGTACACAGTGAAACCTCCATATTATTACAGTCTTAACGGGCAACCAAAAAAATTTGTATTATTGAGAATTTTGATAAATATAATTCAATAAATTTGGTTCTCAAAAATATTTTATTAAACAAAAAATGTTGTTGATGCAAAGTTTGTTTTATGGAAGTTTTACTGTATTTAATAATTATTTTGTTTTAGGTTGAAAATCATCCTTATTTAACTCAAAATAAACTTAAAGAGGTTTGCGAGAGTAATGGGATTCTGTTAACTGCTTATGGACCTTTAGGATCACCGTACAGAGGTACAAACTCAAAAGAATTAGTACTTTTAGATGAACCAATTATTAAACAAATAGCCGACAAGTATAAGAAGACCAATGCTCAAATATTGATAAGATTTCAGGTAATTTTTTAAAAGATTATAGATTTGTATCTTATTTATTATTTTTATTTTTACTTTAATGATTTTAATACAGATCCTTTTATCAGACTTTCTTGTATTGTTAAATCAAGGTTCAAAGAGGTGTTATAGTCATACCAAAATCATCTAATCCTGAAAGACAAAAAGAGAATTTTGATGTTTGGGATTTTGAGATGAGCAAGGAAGAAATTGATTTACTGGAGTCTTTAAACCGAAATCTGCGTTATGTTCTTTTCAAACCGTAAGTTAAAATAATGAATAATATAATTGTCAGACTTATTTTTCAAGTTCTTTAAATATTTTAATTTACATTATTTATTTTTAGAGCAATGCACTTAAAAGACTATCCATTTAATGAGGAACCATGAATACTAGTGATAAAAACAGTTTTTTGATAATGTATTAATGTGATATTTGAAATAAAAAATAAAAAATAATTATTGAACCATAACATTGTGTTAAATTTATTCAAAAATTATAATGAAACAAGAAAGATAAATTGTAGAAATACTAGTTCAAACAAAAACTGTGCTAGCAGTGTGAAATGTTACAAGCTTATTGACCTACCTTCTGTATGCCAACTTAAGCGTGAACACCCACAAGACCTTCAAAGTTCAAATACATGAATATTATCTTCTAATTGTATAATGTATTATATTGTTCATTCATACTATATTAAATAGAATAAAGGTGAAAAATATAAATTACTGGGCCAGCCCAAACAAGAGTTTGGGAAACACTGTGTTAGACTACAGTAGGGTTGCCTTTTTTTATTTTACTTAAACCAGGACAAACATTTTTTGTATAATTTCGATGGAAAAAATTGTACTGACGAAAAACGATTCTGAGCGAAGACGGTCTGTAAGACGGTTAGTCTATAATATTATTTAGTATTTTAGTATATATAATGATATTATTGTGATAAAAGTAATTTATAGAGTAAACTACATTAGTACTACACAGTAGATCAAATTCGTTAAAAAAGTCATTGTGTGTATAAAATATAATCTATACTTTAAAAGTTTTCAAGTTCACACGAATAATATTTTTATTTACAAAAAATAACATAAATCATCATTCTTGGTTATTGAATCTGTAATTTCGTTCACATTTGAACATATTTTTAGATTTTTTGATTACAAAATAACCTACTTGCATGGAGCTTTGTTTTGAATTTTCAACCCTTAGCTATAAAAGTTGAACATTTTAAAAATGTGTAAAATTCAATTACCTGCCATTATTCATTTTTGAATTATATTATAGAGTGACCAGACGTCCCGTTTAAAACGGAATTATTCCCTTTTTGGTCATCATGTCTCGTCGTCCCGACAAACTTCGAACGGGACGCTATTTATCCTGTTTTCAAAAGATTTTCCCGTTTTAATCCCGTTACTTCCATATAATTATTATATTATGTCTGTGAAAAAAAAATCGATGTATGAAACAAAATATAAAAAGTGTTACTCGTATGCATATTTAAAAATAGAAACCAAATTTATAAATAACAAATAACACTTTTCGTGGAACGAACGTCGAGCCCAATAGCGACGAACAGTGAATAAATAATAGGTAATTAAAGATAAGCATGTCGAGACATGTTGTATGGCATAATATTATATCGTTCTACGAGTTTAATTAATATTATTTATAAATTTGCAATATTACTCTAGTATGATTTGTAGTCAATGATATTAGATATTGTAATTATATTGATTCGATTATTATTATTTTTATTCTATTCTGTTCGTTATCGTTTTTACATTGTCCGTATCCTTTCCTCTTTTATAGGCGTTTCGCATTTATCGGTGTTCGTTAATTGTTTTTGCCGTTTTTGGTTTACTTTACAGTTTTACTGTGTCAGTGTCAGTGTCTGTGTCACACTGTCACTGCTTCACTGTTGAGTGTTGACAGTCGAAGTGAGTGAATTCCTTTCCGTAAATTCGTTTTGTATTTTGAAATTGACGCGGACCTATCGATATTTTTCCTAACTTTTATAAATAATTCTTAAAATGAGAAAAAAAGATAAAAATGTATTCCTAAGCATTTAAGCACTTTTATTATTTAGGTTATTTCCTCAAAAATGGTAAAGTAATGAGAAAATAATTTTTGTCTTATGACTCAGTTTTGTATTTCCACTCTCTAGAGTTGTGTGCATATGTCTGAATGAATATGGAAGGGTTTTTATTGGAGGGAGGGGGGGGGGTAAGTTAGTAACGTACCGTTTTTTTATTTTCTTAATATTGTCATCTTAAATTACAACAAAGTAAGAAAACCACTATATGAGGAATAAAGTGAATATGTTCTAAATGTAAATGTAAATACCTAATGAAAAATGTCAACTTTGTTTTTGATTCATAAAGATAGAAAAACTTATAAGGAATCTTGTATTACATTTTAAAAACTTAGATAATTGGTATAAAACGAAACATTTTTATGCATTTCTAACTCAAGTTTTTTGACAGCGAAAACATTTTTATCGACATTAGTTAAATAAAAGCAAATAATAATTGAAAATTGCATATGCCTATAAATGGTTTAACACGAGTAAAATATTTTGAAAATTGTATGGTATATACAATACAGATATGAACATTCAATAAAAATTTCATGTATCTAAGATATTTTTTGTTAGAGGTGCATCAAAAACCTAAGTCAATTTTGTAAAAAACCGGGTTTTCTTAAAAAAGTACTTTTTTCCTTAATTTTTTGGTTTTTTTTCCTGCGATTTTGAAAACTATTGAGAATTTATTACTTTTGACCCCTCAAGATTCACTCTTCCATCGGGAAAGATGCTGTTGAAAAAATTCGAAGCACTTTTACGGTCCCAAAACGTGATGACAGATATAAATAGGACTAATAATGGAGTGTAACTTGCAAGTTCCAACTTGGGATTTTAAAAAATCGACTAGTATTAAATTAAATGCTCGCTCGAGAATAAAAAATATGTACTTACGTCACCTGGGTATCAAATTGTCTGTGGCAATAAATTTTAATTTTAAGACTAGAAAGTAAAATATGTAAGCCCCAAAAGAATATGTAATCAAACTGACCCTAGGTACACATCGAATCTTCAGGTTAATTATAGCTGGAACATATTCAGAGTTCAGATACCATTACGAGGCCGGAGGCACTGCTTTCTTCATCTAACTCCGAACTGAAAAGTGAAAACATCGATATATTTTATAAAAAATACTTGAACAGAATGAAATATGTGAGTAAATGTTGTTTTTTAATGACTGAATGTTGTGTTTAACGACTTCAGTTTATTATTGCCTCATACCTACCTACATTTTCTCTTTTGTGTTTTGTTCGTTGAAATTATTAGGATCGTGATGAATGAGGGAGGCCGGCTTTTGCCATAGATGATCGATATTATAATATAATATTAGGATGTCGTCATCGGTTTTCGAGTTTTTTACTTCTTTAGATGAAATGATACATTTTTTATACCAGACTCCGAAACAGAATATTATTCGAAGCATTTAAATCTATAAATTCATAACTTTGATTAAAAGCTATTTAGCCACCCTACTGTCGTTGGTCCATCATTTTTTCTGGCATCTCACTATATTGTTTTTCGTTTTAATGGCAAGACTATAACTTAATATATAAAACTCTAGAAGTGCGGAGACTCGGGAGAAATTCAAAACTAGTCTTTGAAATTTACAACAGTAAAAAAAAAAATTGATACTTTGACTGTACCTACCTAAAGTATTGTCGCTGGGGTCGGCATTAATGTGTAATTAAACATTTAAACTATACTATTCTATAAATAGTGTGCAATACAATGATACTGTGATAGTACACTGATGTAGGTATTTGCTACAATAATGTTGTGATTGCATACTACTACAATTTACAATACTAAGTAACCATCAGGTATCTATGATTAACTAGGTATACTAAATTTAGTTACTATGGTAATAGCCATCTATACACTAGCTAAAATGTAAGTACAAGGTAGGAAATATGTTAAATGGCCAAGCACGCCGATGAAACTTGCTACAGCTCTGAGATATTTACCTATATTTATAAGTTATAACTACCATACTCCATAGATCAATATGGATTTTTTAATATATAAGCATACACAATCAATATATATCCGCTGTGTTAGACGAATCACTAATCAGTGCAAACGATATGTTCAATTTTAAACAGATTCAGTTCTGATTTTCTGAATATTGTACATTATAACGAATCGTTCAACTGAACTAGTTTGTTCAATTGTTCACCAACAAAACATGCTGTAAAAATATACAGTGATATATACTGTATTACTGTAATGTTGCTGCAGTAATACTTTAATATTTATTAGGCATTTAGGTTGTGTCGCTGAGGTCTATGGAGTAGTATGGACTTTGGTAATGGAATCAGAAAATAAAACACACCCGATTTTTCTTCTTAAATCGTACATTTTTTTATTCACGTTCCAACAACATTTGAATTGGAAGTTAATATACCTACAAGGCTACAAATACTACTTATATGAATAATTATTTAATGCAGTAACCTGAATTTTAAGGGTCTAATTTGTCTGTTTGAATATTTTGAGGAGGCCAAGCACCCCCCCCCCCAACTTCCGTCTATGGCTAGGGCATGATAAGTAACCTATATAACTTTTCTATAAATCAAAACCAATACGTATATCTGTCATCATAAGTATTTTCTCAGGTATCTCAGAAGTAATTATGATTATTCAACGAGTGCGGGGCCCGGAGAAACGACGACGGCGTTTGTAGGTATAAGTAGTAGCCAGTAAGTCCCAATATTATTCGACCTCGCATATTTAATGCATTTTATAATCGGAAATAAAGTATGCGTCTAGTACCAACTGGAAGGTCAACGATACTTGGATAGCATATATTGTTCGTGGCATTAAATATTTATTTTAAGTCTCAAAAGAATATTAACTTACCTACTCTAAACATACTCTTGTCTCAAATCTGTGACGCATAGATGGACCTCAGGGAGGGGGCTTAGCCCGCTATACATTTCAGTAGCCTCCAAAATGAAAACTATTCGAAGGTTTATTGCATTGTCATTGTTTGATTATTCCAGACCCTCCACAAACTAAACAAAATGTCCGACATTGGAACTCTACAATTGATGAAAATAAAACTGTACCGAACGCGGTATGTTTTTTGTTTATGTCTGATTTTCTTATTGAAATTTTGGATATATAATAAACTACATTTCACTGATACGTACCAGCAGTGACTAAGTGAGCAATCTCAGCTGTGGGCTATATGCACTATTTGCAGTACTTACAAAGTCAAAGACTGATATATTAGATCGACTTCCCGCACAATCCATACATATAACATATCATATTTTTGTCACTACTCTGTCTCTTTAAAGAACATTACCTAATACAATTTGAAAAATGTTCTTTGAAAAAACATGTTATCTGGCTGAATGACTGTGATTTATTTTTAATAGGAAATTCAA